ACAACATACAGACTGCTTGTTGCCAAGAGTGAAACATGGCGGGGGTTCTGTTATGGTTTGGGCAGCCATATCGTGGTTCTATGCTAGCCCCATGATAACTGTGTCAGGGCACATGATTGCCAAGACTTATGTGAACATTTTGGCCGATCAAGTTCATCCCATGGTACAAACTTTGTTCCCCGATGGTGATGGTGTCTTACAAGACGACAAAGCCCCTGTTCACACAGCTCACATTGTCCAGGACTGGTTTTCTGAGCACGAGATGAGTTGTTCCATCTCCCCTGGCCACCACAGTCACCAGACCTGAATATTATCGAACCTTTGTGGTCTACATTGGAACGGAAAGTGCGTTCTCGTTATCCACCGCCAACATTGTATCTGAACTTGCCACCGTTTTGCAGGAAGAATGGTATAATATTCCCTTGGCAAACATACAGGAACTGTATTTATCGATTCCGAGAAGACTGCAAGCTGTTTTGGATGCCAACGGGTTTCCTACACCATATTAAGCAAAGAAACATGTTTTTTTAAACGTGTTTCTATATTTTTGTCCAACCCCTGTATATGTGAAAGAATTTAATTTTCAGCGGTGGTGGAGGTGGATTTATTAGTATCCATTTAACAAAACTTCCGAACCGGAATTGGATGATCTAAACTTTATTGAAATTCTTTAGTAATGACGAGGAAACAAAGAACTTTCAGGGCTATCAGAATCATTTAAAGAAAATTCAGATTCACTATCTGATCCAATAACAAAATCGTATTTTGTGAGCCATTTACTGTTGCCCATCGCTTTTTTTTTTTTTTTTTCATACCAACATTTGGAAGAGATACTATTCGTAAAGCCTAATACATTGTACACGTGCAAATAAACTCATTGAATTTCTTCGCCTAATAAAAAGCGGTAAAACCTATCCTTGATATGATTTTGCAATCCAGTCTCTCATGGACTACTAGACATCTATTAGAAGCGCTGAAAAGTAAATGGGGGAAAAGCATGGAAAATCAGTGGATTGATGTAGGAAAATACACTACCCGAGTGGTGTACGGGCAAATAAAAAAATTCCCTTTTCGTGGTCCCCGAACGGTGTTCAGGCAAAACAGCTAAGCGGAAATTTGTGTAGCATCTCTGGTAGTGTAGCATAGCTTAGATAGAAAAGTACAGGAGCCCGACTGTAGATTTTTCATTGCCGGCTGAAATTATTTTTTTTTTTTTTTTTTTTTTCCCAGGATACAGGATTTTCCGATACTTCCTCTTTCCAACGTGAGTGAATATCGGTTAAAACTGTAATTCTGGGAAATGTTAACTTTGGAACATAATGGTTTACTCTCACATCAACCTCATAAGTTTTTCAAAAGACATCCCTTTTTACCATATGGTTTGAAGTTATCTCCCTTTTATCCTGATCTACCTTTTGCTAGAGTGCCTGGACATTTTAAAGTCATTTCTCCATGCCTTCATCAGCATTTCAGGTTCATTTCATCAATTCACCATTTGTCTGGCGCATAATAACCATCGAGGTTTTGTGCCATTTAAAAAATCAACTAACCAACTAAAGGTAAAAGCAATCTTTTGGCGATGTCTTAGTAGTAGGACACTGAAACTGAAGGAACAGATTACAGAAGAACAACCTAGAACTGTAATAGTTGCATGCTTTGCCATAGTTTTTGTCTAACGAGAGACCCCTTAGTGGGGAGATTTTTAAAGAAAATTGGCTCTTTCGAGTTACAGATGTGAAAAACCACGAATACCTCTTCCCCCTGCAGCCAGTACGTTCACCGGGATTAAAGACTGGTAGAACTGCAAGTTGTCAACGGTTTTACTGCTTAGATATTAAGTGGATCCAAAGGCGCCTATGAAAATATAAGTGCATGGCCAAGTGAAGTGTTCAAACTCGAAATTGTTTCGCATTTCAATGAGCTAAGGTCTAACTGATACTATACTTTTAAATAAGTGATTATGACGGTTTCAACCGGATAAACACAAATTGGTTTTCTATAATATTATTTCACTAATAAAGTCGCTGAAATTGGACGTTCAAACCGGGTACAAAAAGGCCTACTACTGGCCGAGCGGCATAACAGCAGCTTTCAGTCCGGGGCTAGGAGGTTCGAATCCCGCGAACGGGCTGGCTGCATGGGTGTTTTCGTGGTTTTCCCCATGTGTAACATGTATACGAGCCAGTTTCCCTTAAAAAGTCCTCCACGAAGGCATCCCCCCTTAAGGCAGATAGCCCTCGAGTGCTTTGCCATAATCTAATACACCATACACCAGTCCGGGGTTAGAGACCCGGCGAACGGGCTGGCTGCATGGGTTTTTTCGCTGTTTCCTTATATGTAACGTGGATACGAGCCAGTTTCCCTTAAAAAGACCTCCACGTGGCATCCCTTCCTTTCCGTGTACTGCCTTAGGGCGGAACAAATAATAAGTAAAAAAAGCCGGGTGTGAATCTCGGTGAACAAACTTGCCGTACGGGCGTTTCAGTACTTTTCTCCTTGTGTAACATGCTTGGAAAGTTCTCCACGAGGGCATCACTCCGATAGGCTAGATAGCGTTAGTCTTCTTGACCATAATAAATTAAAACCTTGGGTAACAGGAATACGAATCATTTCATTCAAAATTTCTCTGCGATGGGATTTCTTCTCCTAAGCAGACGCTGTTAGGTTGTCGGAAAGTAATTTCGTTCTTTTTTCCATGAAAATGAAAGATTTTCTTATAGTGAATAAGTATTTTATTGAATTATATATTTCCCATTCTGGTCCAATGCTTTTTGACATTTTCCTGACAGTAGCATGATTCCACGCTCATAAAACGTTTTTCTTTCTTAGCAAAAAACTGATCCAGGTGATTTTTGACCTCTTCATTCGAAGTTAAAGGATTTACCGTTTAAGGAATTTTGTAGAAAGCGAAATAAAGAAGAATCGGAAGGTTCCATATTGGAGAATATGGTGTGAGTAAAGCGTTATATCTCATCCAAAGCTATTAAAGCTTTCGGCGAGTTGCCAAACTTGTACGAGGTCTAGCATTATCTTGGTGGAACACGCACCTTTTCTGTTGATCAATTCTGGACTTTTCTGTTTAAGTTAATTATTCAATTTGTTCAGCTGATGACAGTACCAGTACACTTCAGAACTGATCGTTGGTTGTCAGGTAGAAGCTCAAAAAATTTCCTTTGAAATCCTACCAAAGGGCGCTTTGAGCTGGTTCGCAGTTTTTTCCTCCGTGATCTCTTGCGTTTAACATTCTTTTAAACAAACCCACTTCTCGTCCCCAGTGATGATACGTTGTGCATCTTCAAGATCAAAATTGCCGGATCGAAATTTTCCAAACCATATTTGGCCCTGGCGTTCTCTCCATACGCATTCTCCAACCATATCGGATAACTTTCTTCTAGCTTGAACAGCATTTTTACCTTTTCGATAGTAAAAAAGTAATATATGCAGAAAATTCTGCTTTTCACTTTCCATATTTGAAAGGACACAAACCAAAATCTACTGCGTAGAATCAATCGATTTTTTTCACAAGTAAGGCTTGCTATATCGTCTTTCAAAATATATGATTATACGGCTTAACTGTGAAAAATTACACTTAAGCCGTCCGTTGGGAAAAGAAATTACTTTCCGAACAACTCAATACATTTTGTCATAATCCAATAAATAAAAATCCAGTTTTGATTTTCTGCCAAATGAAAAAACAAAGCATTTAAATCGGACTTTTAATTCTCGTATTAAAGTACACCCTAACAACATTCTACTACGTTCGCAAATTTCATGGTGAATTGTGCATGTACAGGTTGTTTCGGCAAATCGATTACAAACTTTTAGGAGAGATAATGTACACCTGGATGATGAGCAAACACTAAGCAATGCATGGTCGGAAACCATTTCCTGTCTCGGTATTGACGACATAAAACGTAAGTAAGAAAGAACACAAACGGGGTGAGAATAATTTTTATTATTCTTAGTGCAGCGAAAACCAGAAAATAAGAACAAAAACAGCCAACTATTGTCAACAAAAAGAAGATGCTCGAAATAACGACCGGAACCATGATGCAGGAAACGCATGTGCCATGCGATCTTGCATGAGTGATGCAGATCTTCCATGCGCTGGAAATGTGAGGGCTGCATCACGATCCTGAGTCGTAATTTCGAACACCTTCTTTAATAACGGTCTTTGTCTGTTTTTGTTCTTATTTGTTGGTTTGTGTAAACGTAGTAAACATTTTTTGTCATCCTGTTGGTGTCCTTCGTTTTTGTATATTTGTCGTCTCTGCCGCGGCAAGAAGACGTTTCCGATAATGCATTGCCAAATGATTTGACATCGTAAAGGTGTACTCCCTCTCCTGGAAGTTTGTAACCGATGTTTCGAAATACAGTATGGCCACCATATATAAAGGATATCTACTAATTTAAGTTCTCAACCTTGTCAGTATGTACGTGCACAATTCATCTATGTAGAGCTATTCTATCATGTAATTGGATCGTAGGCCAGTTCGACTGTGTTCGAAGTTATACACCTAAGCAGCAAGACAGAACATCGAATTTAAGGCTAACTACCTGTTGGGCTACGATAAAGAAAATCTAACTGGCATCGAAATACGTCCAACTTTCAAAGATATTCTCGAAGATATCCAACCAAACCACCTGATTATAAATTAGACATTGCCAACGCCCTTTTAATCGATAAGAAATTAGGTCTTCTTACAGAAAATCAGTATCAGACATTTTTGTCCGTATTGTACACTACAGTAAGTGCTAATGTGTATACCTGTACCTCCACGATCGCAAAACTGCTACAAGCATTTTCCATCTTTAAAGTTGGTAGTCTCGCCAACTTATAATCTTAAACCAAATAAAACTAAAGCTCTGTTTACTGCCTTTAAAATTTAATAATTGCTTTATAACATGTTTAATTTCCTCAGTTTTACTGATACTGTTTGGGGCAACTCTGTATTAATATAATATGCTAACTAAATGCAAACTATTCTTTTATTATGTAGGAATTGTGGAGCATGTTGGGCTACGATAAGGAAAATCTAACTGGCATCGAAATACATTCAACTTTCAAAGATCTTCTAGAAGAAATCCAACCAAACCCACCTGATTATAAATTAGATATTGCCAACGCCCTTTTAATCGATAAGAAATTAGGTCTTCTTACAGAGTATCAAACCAAAGCCCAAGAGTTGTACGGTGGATCCGTGCAAGAGGTTGATTTCTCGGAAGAAGGATCTGAGATTGCGGAAGAAATAAATCACTGGGCAAAGAACAAAACCAGTGGTAAGATCCTTCGCATTGTAAGAGATTTCCAGCCAGATACTCAGATTGCTCTTGTGAGTGCTGCTCATTTCGAGGGAAAATGGCTTAATAAATTTAAACTCAATTCTACCGATAAGCAGATTTTCTACGATAAGGGCTATTTTCGAAAGGCGAAGTGAGTATAATTTCTTTTAAAATTTGTCTTTTTACATTTCGGTTGTTTCAAAACGTTATTGCCAGATACAGCTGTAATTTAACCAGCTGAAAGGTGATTTCTATTACTTTCTCACAATATTAGGAAGAGTAAATCTTGCCAAATTTATGCATAAAATTTGTTGCAAGATTCAAACGTATCTTGTCGTAAACTTTTGTATATTCTAATGTGTTAGGATGCCTTCGTGTGTGTAAAAGTACCAAAGGTAAGTTACTTTTCGGATGCAGGTTCGTGGTTTTCGAATTTTAAGAGATTTTTGAAGTATTGATAATTATTGTAAGTCAGCAAGCATTATGAGCATGGAAGGAAAACACGCTTTAGCGATTTAGAATGTAAATTTTAATTATTAAAGTTAACGTGATTCATTAAAACAAGACACTTACATTCTCCAAATGTTTCTTCAAATTGTTAGTGTTATTTTTCCCAAGCGCACAACGATCTGTTTTCGCTTAAGAAAGCCAAACTGAAGAGACGCAGCATCGCACAATTCTCTAGAACAGCGGCTTGGAGAAGTAAAATTTTGTGAAAGACGCTCATCTCTCAGTACAGCTTATAGTATGCTTTGAATACTGGTAGGAATTTACACATGGGGTGGGAATCATCGTATGCTTCAGCATTCCGTCGTATTTCAAATCTTCATCAGGCAAACCAAAACAAATCTCAATGTTTCACCAGTAGATTAGCTACAGAAATTTTATGCAGTGACCAATAGTTACGAACAACGATCGGATAGCGGTTGAGCTTTCCTTTCACTTCCTAATTATAGCCTGTCGTATATCGCTTAGCATGTTTTAATGTACTATAATCACTTGTCATCTCTTAAGTACAACATACATGGCATTTTTCTTGTCACTGTTAAAATACCGAAACGCATTATGTGTATGTTAATTTTGCGAGAGTTTTATATTTTATATTGCTCTGTCTTTAATGTTCGGTAATTTTGTAGAGGGCAGAGGACTGGGAATACTATTTCTTTATGATAGTTGCATTTTCTTCAGGGGTGAGTGGGACTAGCTTGACCAGAGATATTCGTAAAACGTTCTGGCATCTTTTAGATTAACCCATCCCCCATCCTTCGTAAAGGCACACGAGTTCCATAGCATAAAGGCACAAGGTACAGCTACCATTATGAAGTCAAGAGAGAGTTTTAATTTTCAGAAAAGCTGCCTTCAACGTTAACGGGACGCCCCAACTGAAGGTCGTAATCTCTGCGAACAGCGATTTACTCGCGGAAAGATGCCGGCATCTTTACCAAGGGAACGATAGCTTGACGAGGCACCAAGGTGCCTTGACATAAAGGCACAGTGCCGGCAGCTTTATGAAGTTTGCTTTCATGAGAAAAGGAACCCGCATCAGGGCTGCCGGGACACCTATGTGAAAGCATATTGGTAAATAGTTGCCTACTTTCATAAAGGTGCCGGCTTTCTATCATTTTATGAAATGATCCTGGCAGCAGGACTGGAAAATTCTTACCTTCACGCAGTGGGCTAAAGAATTAGGTTCAACAATTACGAATTTATGATCTAGCAACGACTGGTTATGACATCAGGCTTACACTGTTAAAGTTAGTTTACCTCTCTATTTTTGAGTGTAAATCTTTTTCTTCCTGTGAATTTTTGGCTACGTGAGTTCTAAATCTATTAATGTTTTAACTTTTTAAACCATCGGTATTAACTTAAAAGCATCACAGGTACTTTTCCTGCATGTTCTTGCATATTTTAAGTAAATAAAGCTAATCATTCGCACTTATTAACATTTCTAAAATCGTCCGATTCACTGCCTCATCCTGTAAATTATTCAGAATTGCGAGTTATTTTTACAGAAAAGTTCTGCGATTGTGAAGCGCTAAAATTTCTTTTTATATTTTCTAATCAACATTTACTAAGCTAACTTTATTGAAAGAATACTTTGTCTAATAAGTTCTGCTGTTTATATAATCAATAGACTTTTGGTTAATACCTGACTGTTGCAAGTTCCACTTGGGGAGTTGATACATACCTGCATTTCCGGAGGCAGTATGCAGAAACTGTATTTTTATTGCCCAACTTGTACAAGGGTCTATTATCATTTCTTAAGTATTACATTATTTGTTTGATTGCAATTTTCATTCATATTCTTTTCTAACAGGGAGGTACCAATGATGCATATGACTGGTAATTTCATGTACTGGTCGGGGAAGTCGTACAGTGCTTTAGAGGTCCCTTTTGAAGGTGACAATGTCACCATGATAATCTTGATGCCGAAAGCTATAGATGGTCTCGCTAAGTTGGAAAGAAAGATGACGCCAGAAAAGTTATCGAGACTCATAGATATCATGTATGGCGCTGATCTCAATATTCAAATACCAAAGTTTAAACTACTTTATTCCAAGGACTTAATCTCACTCCTAGGAGTCGAAAACATCTTTCAGCCAGATGCAGATTTCTCTGGAATGATTAACAATGGCTCAGCCACCATTAATCGAGTTTTGCATAAGACATTCCTTGAAATATCGGAAAAAGGAGCTGAAGCAGATGCAGCAACACAAGTTCCTATTTTCAAAATATCGTTTATCGAGGAACCCTCGTTTCCTCTCTTTAAAGTAGATCGGCCCTTCATGTTTGTAATTCAAGATTACAATAACGATATGATAATGTATATGGGAAGAATCGATACTTTATAGATGTCATCTAAGAGGCAGTGAGGTAATGCGCATTGTTTTCAAAAACTTCTTTAAGCATTTTTTTTTTAAATTGTGCGAATATTTTAGCTTTTGTTCCCAAAATTGTAATAAAGAAATATTTTTTAAATTGTATTCTTACTGATTCAAATTAGTATTTTGTGATTCGTTTTTAGATTAGCCTGGAAGATGAAAATGTAATGCTTGCAATTCGAATCTATATAACAAAATAATTATGTATTTATTTCTAAGTAATAGGGGGATCGGAAAGTAATGCCGTTTCTGCGCATGTCGACAACAACATGCTAAGGGTAGAACAACATGCTAAGGGTAGAAGTGGAAGCAAATCCATGTCAAACACTCTTAACCAACCTTGGTCGACCATCCAAGAACATTTAAAGCAGAATGGAAACATAAGCAAAGCAAGTGTTCGAGTCCCCTATAATCTGTCCGAAAAGAACAACCTATCCATCACATGCAACGTATTGCTTCAACGGCACCATACAGAACCGTTTTTTTTATCGTTTGATTAGTGGCGACAAAAAATTGGTCTTATATGATAAACCAAAACACAAAAGGCAGTGTTAATAGGGGTTACAAAGGGTTTACATCCCGAAAAGGCGCTTCTAAGTGTTTGATGGAGTATTCGCGGAATTATTCATTTTGAACTGCTGAAACCTGGGCAAACTGTTAATGCAGACCTTGATTGTATACAATTGGATAAAGTGAACCAATCTTTAATCGAAAAATATCAATTGTCAACAGAAAAGGCGTCATTCTGCAACACGACAATGCAAGACCGCACTGTGCAAGACGAACACTGGAAAAAATGAATGAATTGGGGTGGGAGGTCCTTCCATACTCATCCACCATACTCGGCCGATATCGCAGCATTGGATTTCCATTTATTCGGATCCCTACAACATTTTCTTAGTGGCAAAAAATTTGAAAATTTGGATGATGTCCAAAATGTCCCCTCGAGATATTTTACTCAACCATTTTATCGGACCGGGATTGAAAATCTGCACATTAGATGGCAAAAGGTTGATAACAAGGGTGATTATATATTATTGATTATAAATAAAAACTTGTTAAAAATGTATTCGTTTAAATTTAATGTAAGAAAGCGACATTACTTTCCTAGTCCCCCTACTAGAAACGCTTAAAGGAAGCTATCACAAAATGTGAGGTGTCAAATTCAAACACAAAATTTTCAACCCATTTCATATGTCAGAAAATGTCAGCACGAAATTTAAGATTGTACTTTATTCTAGATCCAAATAACATTTCTAGTTGCATAAAAGCATAAATAATAGCAGTTTTGACATTGTGAAAACGCAACAGTCGCACTATCCCCTACAAGGAATCATTTTTGTTTGCTAAAATCTGCGAAATATTTGGTATGAAATGCAGTTGTACACATCATTATTTGCTGTACATCGAGCATGTCAAACTTCAATGTCTCAAGTGGTCCAAATAATCATAATAGGTCAGGGCGCAAATAAAAAACCATTTTCATACTTAAAGATGTATTTAAAATAGGAGTAAATAGTCTTTTACCAGCAGCCAAAATTTTTAAAAAAAATCTTCCATTGGTGAATTAAATTTTCTAGAGGTGTTTCACATTCAAAAAACACTTCCAGTTCTAGTTAATGATTCTAATTTTAATCAGTCTTTACCCTCAACCTTTAAGGTAAAATTATGCTTTAGTTTTCTTGTTTCATCAATAGATGGCGCCAGTGCCTGACTTCTTTCCAATATTCTTATCTTATGGCCATATTCTATCTCCTTTATTTGCACTTAGGCAGTTGAAGATGGTTCAGCATTTTAACCATCGTAATTAGCCCTGCAAAATTTACAAACATACGCTGATTCTTGTTGTTTAACTTAACAAGTTATAGTCTAGGCTATCACTGTAGTTCTTTAAAAATTGGAATATAATCCTGGTAGTGTTTAATTTTTGGAAAATTTTATTATATGAAATAGATTTTGTATCGTATGGTACAGGGTAAAGCATTCTTTGCATAACCCAACATTACAGGTTGAGCAACTCTTACTTGTTTTATGTTCATCTGTGTATAACGAGCACAGCGGCGTCTTCATTTTCCAAGTATTGGAAGATGATACCGAACATTCAGGAGATTGTAAGTACTTTTTAACCCAGCAGGAATTTTTAAACTTTTAGTGGGACATACATGTCCCATTAGTAGTCAAAAGATTAATCGATTAACATAGCCTGTAGTCGTGGACGTTGGAATTAGTCGCACATAACACAATTCGTTTCTAACTCGGTAAGTTTTACCAAAGGTCTAAACAACTCTGTACATTATTGCAACAACCCCAATCTACGTACGAGATCGATGCAATAATATTACTTTACGAAAAACATGCAGAATGCTTTGATGTTAATATTAGTTTCAGATTGCAAAAAATTGCAATCCTGAGATCATTATGCAATAGAAGTAACGTTGCATATTTCTGGAAGAAGATTTAAAGAAACGCTCGAATGAGAGACCTATGAAGTGGGGGCCTTTTTCAGGTTTATCGTATAAAAACACTAAGCTCAAAATATCATGCACACTGGTTAAGAAATCTCTAAATGGCAGCTATCGTGAACGATGTAAGGCTGTTCGGTACCCTGGTTCCCAAAGTGGGCTACGCCAGTTATTTGGGGGTTACCTTTAATTGGTTATTCACCTGGTCCACTCATATGGCCAAAGTGTATGGAAAAGTATATGGAATAGTGTTCAATATACCACTGCTTAAAAATGATCAGCTTTCTATCAAAGTGAAGTGGAGAATCCATATCGCATCTATTAGGCTTATTACGTATGCGTGTCCTGCCTGGACTACTGCCACTGAGAAAGACTACAAAAAACTTCAAGTGTTGCAAAATAGGCTCTTAGAATTATCACAGGTGCCCCGTACTTTATAAGGAACAGAAGTCTACGCTCGGATCTAAAAATAGAATCAAAAATTTCACTGCACTGATTAACGGAAGATTTTATAAGCGAACTTCGCAGAAATACGCAGAGTACGACATTCTTGAGGAAGGTAGTTTTTTAAGCTATACGCTGCTCATTTGTTGCGTACTGCACTGAACAATTAAGATGACCGACCAGAAAGCAAAAATCCCTAGTGCTTTTACTATTCAGTTTGATTATGTGTCATTGCCAAATGCGTGAATTTTGGGATACTACCAGCATCGACAGCAACCAGTCTCCAAACCCTACCCCGGTCTTCAAATTTAGAAGGCAAAGCGCTTCAATTTGTTCTCTACCCGTCAGTTACTTATCTCTTTTGAAAACTATTCTTCACAAGTCAGGCCCTAATGACTCTTTCGATAACTTTCAAGAGTAGGGAACACTAAGCACATGCTGCAGGTCAGTATACCGATCAAGTATCAGTGTCATGCACAAGATAGCTCTGCATGGAAAAGTTTCCAAATACAAAAGGTGCCACTCCAACATCTTTTGTGTTTGAATGGGTTCTGCACAACGTATCATTCATAAACGTAACTGAAAATGCTTTTTAAACATGAAGATATAATTTCAGCTGAACCATTTGATAGCCTGCAATAGCATAAACACAAAAACCAATACGAAAAATGCCCTTAAAGGTTTAAGCTGATTGGAAACTTAAGGAAAATCATGTTATTTCAACTAGTAAAGATCTTAAGAACTAAATACTTTCCATTTGTTATATGCAACCAAAGAGAAGGTCGGGAAACAGGATCATCTCGGCCAATCAGCTGTTCCTCCACACTGAGCAAAACTGCAGACTTATTTATTCCCAAGAACACCCTAAGCTAAGGTTTGGTTTATTCGATCACGGTGAAGGAAGCAAATCCCATTTAAGGGAACGGATATCGTTGTGAAAGACTTTCTAAGGGAATCTGGTTCGCATATATGAGGCACATGGGTCAAAAGCACGAAAATTCCCATGAAGCCAAACCATTTTCTTGGAATGGAACCTACATCGAACACTCGGTGTTAGTATCTTTACTGCTAGGCCGCTGGTTGGCTTAAGCTTTTTTTAGGAAGAAAATATCTTGCTATCATAATACAAAATCTTGTTGAAAGCACTTCACAGCGTAATTGTTGATCGATTTAGTGATCATTTGTAAAGATTCTCAAAGGTTTCAACAAAAGCTTATTGCTGCCTATTTTTTTTATCCTGCTAGAAAGAGGCCTTTGATGGTGATTGAATGGAGGGTCACATGTGCAAATTCATAAATCTGGCTTTGCCAGAGTACGTTATAACACGTATGAATTCCTCTCTAACCGATACATACCTTGTCGTATGCTAAAATAAACTTTGATACTTTGTTGGTTATTCTGACATGCAGCGGGAGGTGCACTACTCGAGCACTTTCCAAATTCCTGAATGAGTTCCCTTAGGGTCCTGGCAGCGGGAAATGCACTACTCCAGCTCTTTCCAGATTCCTGAATGGGTCCTCTTAGAGTCCTGACATATGTAAAAGTCCAAAGATGAAGCTTCTGCACTTGAGATAGCCTTGTAAAAGAAAAAGAGAAGTGAAGCCCTGAGCTTCGGTGACCAGCAAGCCATGTCTGGGGCAGCTGCAGAAGGCCAAGGAGGTGCGAAAAGCTGATCGGAAACACGTAAAGAGGTTTGTAACATCCGAAATTTGGTGAGCTTGCATATTACTATATAATACGAAAAACAATACATCTATGCAGAAACATTAACCTCTTCGTCGTCCGTAACGCGTCTAGCGCTTTGAAGTGAAATTTCCACAGGGCGGCCGTAACGCGCTACAAGTGTTCTTCTACATTTTAAAAATTTTAAACGTTTAATATGCTTTCTAAATGTTTACTTGTTTGAGTTTATATTTTTGTTTGTTCTAATACCTAGAGGGCAGCAGTAATCAGGCATTCTATTTCTAATTGAATTTGCCCCGAGTTTTATGAATATTCGCGCCATTTTACATAAGATACAAGACAGTGAGAGATGGCTTCAACGTCTACTCAGCAGAAAAAGAGAAAAAAACAACAAAAGAGATTACAACAACAAAATGGGAAGAGTGGACCGCCTGGAACAGATGTTATCAAATTAGCCTGCTGTTAGAAATAAGCAGAGATATTATTTTTCCATTATGCTTTATTTCCTTATAA